GTGCCAGTCCCCTCTAACCTGCACCACCTAACCCACAGGCAGAAGACACAGCATTAACTCAAGCCACCCAGGGCTGAGTTTGAGGCTGAATTCCTTAAGAGAATGCCTATCCTCCCTGTACTTCCAATGCATTCCTCTTTGTAGCAAAAACAACAGTGCCCAGGCAGTGTCCACCCCAGCACTCTCCACTCTGGCACTCATTGAGGTGAATATATGCTGGATCTGTCCAGTCAGACATCAAAGCGGAGCAATCTTAATCTGGCAACTTTCTCAAACCTCTGATCTTTTGGATTTTTTTTATTATCATCTCTTTAAACAACAACAATAATAAAGGTATCCCATCAGCAATAGAGACTTTGGGTCCTTGCTCCTGTCTGCTCCCCCTATTGGCAGATTCAGCAACTGGCCTGCTGTCCTCTCCATCCTTGTCCTGCACTCTGCAGTAGCTGGCTGAGAGCCCACTAGCTCCAACCACTTCATATTTCACCTGAAACATCTCAAAATCCCAGTCAGTATAAAAGACACAAAAATAAAAAAATGGGACGCGTAACTGAAGAGTGAGTGGAGTCCAGGATATTTTTTTTTTTTTATGACAACTCCAAAAGCAGATGGATTGTGTATTGACTGGAAACACCCATCGAAGTCAAAACTTTGGTCCAATGTCCAATTTGTTTACACTTGCTTCTTGCTCTAAAGAGTGAAATGTATGTGAAAAACAAATTCACCTAATCAATGACTATCATGTTTCTACTGATTGAAATATAGTGATTTGTATAACTAAATGACTTCTAGGCAACAGAACAACAAAATAAAGGGGCTTTCTCTACCCTCAGATGCGGTTTCTATATTTAGTAAAAGAATATTTTTAGACTGTTTGCTCTGTTCTAGATGCTGTGCAATATTCAGTAGATAGAAAGGTGAACAGGAAGGGTTCCTGCCTGTGAACTTACATAATACATGCAAGGTAGGGCTTATAATTGAATGTTGCAGGTATAGCTTGGTTAATGCAAGGTAGATGAGAATAAACCTCCAGGAGGGTTTCTTATCCTTGATAGGTCAGGTCAAGAAAGCCAAATGGTGATGAACAGCAGGCACTGGAGTGAAGGTGGGAGAGAGATTTCTGCCCCTTGCCTTGGGGAAGTTCAACAAGACTGGTGCTACATTATGGGGCATGTGAGACTGAAGAAGATGGCCTGGGGAGGTAAGGTCTCATCTAGTAGGAACAGAATGGAACTGAAGGACATTAGGCAGGAGTACTGTACTGTGGCTATTTTACTTTAGAAAGACCTCTGGGTATTATATAAATGATGGGTTTGAGGGATATATTTAATAACTGGAATTCAGAGAACAGTTTTTAAGTCTGTTGCCATAATCCAGGCCACAGTTGATGAGGCCCTGAACTGGGGAAATGTGTAGCGACCAGGAGCCTGGGGTGGAAGGGTGATGCTGTTATCTAGCTTGAGCTCACTCCAGTAGACACTGTATCCAAACAAATGCAGAACAGAGAATACACAGCAGGTTTTTTTCCCCTTTAAAAAGTTATAAACAGCTGAAATAGGGGTGGATAATAAAGTATGACATTATAATACCCATTGTGGAGAACCGGTTTCAGAACACGGGGGAGGGACTATGTTATGCTGACACAATGACAGAAAGAACATAGCTTTAGGTGATGAAATTACACTTATTAAACAGAGACACTATTTTAGGCACCACATTCCACTTGACAGGGAGCCAAAAACAGATGGTGCAATGCAATTTACTGGACTACAGTTTTCCAAAAGTGTGTCTTAACTTGGAATCCTTCAATTTGCCAAATGCCAACAACTCATCTTGCCTATTCCACTGCATATTAATTTGTATCCACTTCAGTTGTTTAGTGTTTTAATTATAGAAGAAATACAAATATATGGTCAAAAAATTTGAAAGAAATCACACATTAGTGAAGAGTATAAATTAAAAAGTAAATGTTTCCTTTTCCCAACCTACTTCCCCTTCTATTCTTTAGCTATAACTACACTTAACAATCTCTTATGCATTCTTTTCACATTTTCACAGCTCCAAAACATTCATATAGATATAAGTTAAGTGGACATCCTTATACATCTGTGCTTAGATGTATGGAAATGAACTAATTCTCAGAAGTAGAATTATTGTATCTAAGATTTTGTTCTTGCATTCTTAATAGTTTTCACAAAATTTTTCTCCAAATATGTTGTATGAATTCTCCTCCTAGCCACAAGCTACTTTATTTATTCATGCCATTTTATTAGCTATGCAGTGGTGGGACTTCACTGTGATTTAATTTGCATGTCCCTAATGACTAATGTGTTGTGCATCTTTTCATGTATTTATATACCATCCATATGGCTTCTTGGTGAAGTGGCTGTTCAGATCCTTGGCTCTTTGTTATTGGGTTGTTGGTTTTCTTATTGCGTTCTGGCAGTTCTGGGTACAAGTCCTATGTCATGTGTTTTGCCAATAGTGTCTTCCAGACTATGGTTTCTATTGTCATTTTCTGTGTGTGTTGTGGAACAAGCAGAAATTTTAAAATTGTGACTTTCTCAATTTGTTTTGAATGGATTGCTGGTTTTTTTTTTTTGTATTTTAAGAAATTTCACCTAATCCAAAGTCACAATAATTATTGTTTATGTTATTTCTTTAAGCTTCATAGGTGTATTACCTTTATGCCAGTTGTCCATAATTTTAGCATACAATGCAAAATAGTGAAATTTGTGTGAAAATCATTAGTGTGTGTGTTTTGTTTTAATTTAGACATTCAGTTGTTCCAGAACAACTGAATATATTCACCATATATTTACGTATGTGTCTGTTTCTAGATTTTATTGTTCTATTTCTTTGTTCTTTGTATCTATCATTTTACTAATATCATCCTGAATCACATAACTTTTCAAGAAGTTTTATTTTTTTTTTGGTTCCTTGATAGTCTTACATGTTGCTTATGCAGCTCAGTTTTTGTTATAAAATTTTTAAACACTACAAACATCAGCATATCTTCCAAGTAAGATGTTGGCAAACTTTCTCTGTAAAAGGCTAGATATTAAATTTTTCAGGCTTTGTGAGTCATACAATCTCTTCTCAACAACCCAAATTTGCAATTGTAGTATAAAAGCAGTGTCTAAATAAATAAACATGGCCTGTGTTCTATCATAACTATGTATGGAAATTGAAATTTTGCATTTCATATAATTTTCACAGGCCAGAAAATATTACTCTTCTTTCCATTTTCCTCAACCATTAAAAGAGAAAATCCATTCCTGGATCACAGATAAAAATAAGCAGTTGACTAAATTTGCATCATGGGGCACAGTTTGCTGAACCCCGTGTCCAAACCCATTTAAAAATTGTTAATAATTTTGACATGTTTTATATGTAAGTCATTTGAATGTAAGACATGATAGCCCTTCAACTCTAAATATTTCAACACACATCTCTTAAGAATAATAGTCATCCACCTAACCATTATCATTCCTGAGGAAATTAATAGTAATTCTTGAATATTATCTGATTTCTTAATCATAGGCAAATATGTTCATTGTCTCCAAAATGCTTTTTAGCATACAATTAGCATCCATTCAAAGTTTACTCATTACATCAATTTTTATGAACTTCTAGTTTCTTTTAACCTAGAACAGTCTGGACTTTTCTTCCCATCTTTACATTTGAAAAGTCTGGGCTAGTTGCCTTGCATATTGTCCAACATTTGTAGATTATTTTTCTCTTTGAAACATTTAATGCTCTCTCCCATTCCTCACATTTTCTGTGTACAAAAAGTTAGATCTAGATGATGATTTTAGATTCAGAATAAACTTTTAATAAAAATGCTTCATAGGTGTGTATTTCAGTTAATCTACCTGTTCTATTTCCTACTCTCTCTCTGGTGAATCCTCTCACCCCCAACACCTCTGGCCTGTACCCCAGTTCTTACATGCATAAATAAACAAATCTTTAAAAAAATGCTTCATAGGTGATGCTGGGAACTTCACATTTCATCTAATCAGGAAGAACATAACACCTGGTTGTCCCAGGCAGGTGACAGCAGATTCTCCATCAGGAAGATACATTGTCCTTTTACAATTAGCAAGTATTTTCCACAAGGGCTGTTTGACACCTTGCAAATACCTTATTTCCCACTCACTTTTCTTCTAATGGCTTCAGGATTCATTGAAACTCATCTGAATCAATACTTTAAAGAATTATTTATTTTCAAATTGCTCTATAACTTACAGAGCTTTTTCTCTTAATTTTTTTTATTGAACACTGCATTAGAACATTATATAAATTTTAGGTGTGCCTCATTATAAATTAACATCTATAAATAATACATTAAGTTCACCACTAAAAATATCATTCTATCATTCACCACACAGTTGACCCCTTTTACTTGATTTGCTCACCCCCTTCCTCTTTCTCTTCTGGTAACCACTTAGAGTCTAAGTGTTTATTTTTGTTTTTTATTTAGTTCATTCATTTGTTGGTTTGTCTGTGTACCACAAGAGTGAAATCATACAGTGTTTGTCTTTCCCCATCTAACTAAACATAATGTAATCTCTTATAGGTTCATCCATTTTGTTGCAAATGGCAGGGTTTTATCTTTTTTATAGCTGAGTAGTATTCTATTGTGTATGTTTACCATATCTTCTTTAGCCAATCATTTACTATAGGGCATGTTGGTTGTACCATCTCTTGGCTATTGTAAATAATTTTGCAATGGACATGGGGATTCATACAGCTCTTTAAAGTAGTGTTTTTGTATTCTTTGGGTAAATAATCACAAGTCAATTGTATGAAATTTATAGTTTTAATCTTTTGAGAAATCTCCACACTGCTTTCCATAATGGCTGCACCAATTTACATCCCCAACAAGAGTACACACAAGTATACACTAAAAAGGAATAATTAATCTCAAAGATTTTTACAGGAATCATCACCGCTTGGTAGAAACTATTTCTAATATAAGCTATATGGGTCTTACTTACTGTGGTTATCTGTGCAGGGACTTGAAGGGGTAGAAAGCAGGAGGATGAGAAGCCAGCCCCATAGATTGGGCTTATAAAAATACCAAAGCATTCATAAACTCTCTCCATCTTCCTTCTGCTGTCACCATGACAACATAAGCGAGTCTGGCTAGAACCTTCCCACTTCATTAAGTCTTCCTATGCTTACACTCCCAGCTCCATTGAGAGAAATATCCTTGATGTTTATTATAATCAAATTAAATATAAATGTCAGGGGAGCCACAAGAGGGGTGGGGTATCAAGATGTAGTCTGTGAACCTTGTGTTTCTCTAGGGTTAGCCTCATCACCTTTTCTCTTTTTTATTTAAATATACTAAGGTTATTGTTTGCTATAATAGCTAATGCCTTCATATTTTAAAAGTGTTATTCTAACAACTTCATTTGTTATTATTCTCTGTTATTGGAGGACATATATGAAAGGAGAGAAAAGATGTAACTTCCTGGAGAAAGGAAACATCAACTGTAGATAATGTCTGTCTAAGAGACTTCTGTTTTAACCACAGGATGGAATTGACTGCCTTTTCCCTTTGTGTCCTGCTAAAGACAGCTGAAATCCCAGCCCAGACATTATAGATATAACAAACCAAAACTCAGAAGGTTGGGGGGGGGCACTGACAGCCTACCAGGGATGGGAGGACTGTGGATGGTCAGATCTTTGAGTTCCTCTGTTTTTTTTTTTTTCTCTCATTGACACTGAACTGCCTTCTGGAGAAGCCAGTAACCCAGTAACACCAGTGAGTGGAGATAAGAAAAGCCCCATAAAGCCTTCTCACTGTAGTTACTGGGCAGGGAAGGGGCAACTGTTATAGATTGAGAGTTTAAATCAAAAGCTCCAGCCAAACACTAGTGTAAGCTCCCCGCCTCTAAGGCATCGCCAGGAGCAAAGAGATACTCTGACCTCCAGTGCTGACACTGTTCGATTGTTATGTAAAATAGGAGGAAGAGGGATGGAGAAAGATATCTCTTTGTTATTTTGGCAACTTCCTGTGACTCATTATTTTAAAATGAAAAGTTAAATGAAGAAGGCCACTATAGGATATTTTCCCCTTTTCATCTGAGTGTGTTGCTGTCACTTTGCTGTGCATTGACTGGATTCCATGTTAGCGGAAAGGCGATTAGAACAAACAGTTGCTGATTTTTTGCTTCTGCTGCAGTATCCTTGAATTGTACATTTGGAAGGTCTGTCATTTAGAACTAGGTAAGTTCCTTTTTAAATAGAAGATCCAAAGGAACTGTTCTATGTTTATGAGTGAAAACATTGAAATGGGAAAGAGATCAGGAACAAAGACAGGAAGCCTAGGGGAACACTTTTATAACAAAACTCTACTCAATTCAATAAAAAGTGATCATGCTTTCCCTTTCTTTAATTATTCATTCAATGTAATTCAATACAAATTTTGTTTCCAAACAAGGACTGTTGCGGGAGCATTAATGAAGGGGGACTCTGCTTTCACCCTCCAGAAAATATTTGCTTAGCACCTACTCACTAATCTCAAATGGGATGCATGGGTGACTAAAGGAGGTCAGATTCCTGTCCTAATGGACCATTGCAATGCTCACACCAGGGTTGCTGCCTAGAACCTTTGAGAAGATAATGCAACCATGTTGGCTGGAATTCAGGGTTTCTAGCCCAAAGCAGAAAAAAAGATAGCAGCCACAAATAATCAAGAAGGCTGTATTGACAGTGGGTTACAATTGTCTTTCCAAACAGAACCAAGAAAAGTGGGAAGTAATTATTCATTAACAGGTTGCCTGAAGTGTTCAGTGCCCTTTCACGAGGCAGGCTTGAGCAAGAGAGGGGTGTTTTGTTAAGACAATGGTCAGAAGGATGTGCCCTGGGGGAGAGCCTGACCAAAGTTGCAGCACAACCCCCTTAGTGGCATAGTTCTAGATGTTCAGCTTGGCATTGAACTCATTGTCAGGGCTCTCACAGAGTCAGACCCCCTGGACTCTTTCCATTAGGCTTAATAAAGGAGGCAGTTATATTTGACACTTTGATCAATAGAAATAATTTTTTGTCTTTTATGCATCCATCCAACCTTCCATCCAACCTTCCATCCAACCTTCCATCCAGTCTTCCATCCAAACTTCCATCTGTCATTCATCTCCCATGAATATTTGTTCTATAATTGTACTTCCTCAATCTGGTAACCGTGGTTTCAATCCATCCCTCTTCCAGGCTCATTGCTCTTTTGCTTCTAGAACTAGCACCTGTAGCTCCTCAGAAAAAGGCTAGAGGATTGCTGAAGGCCCTTTGCCCTCAAGTGTAGACAGTTACAGTGCTTGGGAATTTAGCAATTACTCACTGATTCAGGGAACACACTGACTCAATTCTCTTGCCTCACATGGAGACAAGTTTGGTGTGGAACTCATGCCCCAGAGATTTCTAGGGTCAGGCTCAGTCTGAGACTCTGTCTGAATTTGCATCTTTGTTGGTTGCATCTTTGCATCTGTCCTTTGTGCCTCCCCCACTTCCTTACAGGTTTCCTGTGGGAAAATTTTCAAATAAATGGTTGGAACATGGCTATCATTACTATCATGACTATCATGGCTGAACCCTGCCAGAGATAATCTTGCAATAAAAAAAATGAGCGATTATTTAGTCCTGAGGAATTGGTTCCTATGGTAAGAAATGTTACTTAAATAGATGCAAACTCTGGAAATTCTTTCCTCAAGTTATTGTTTGATATTAGTAGACAAGGCTTAGAGTAGACAGTCTGAGAATCCAATGGTGTTGTCTATAAATGGGTCTTGTCAATTGTGCAAGTATTATATTCAACAGAAGAGTCACAAAGGAGTCTTAAACACATAGTTGGTTGAGAAGCAGAGCTTAACTTTTGTCCTTAACAAGATCTTATTCACAGATTGTCCAGACAGAGACAATGGAGGCTATTATTGGGGGAACCTGGCCTCTTCTTGCAGGACCCCTAAATATGTGCATCTCAAAACTTGGAGTATGTAACCAGAACTTGGCAGATGAAGACTCAGTGAAATACCAAAGATCCCCGTCTAGTAATACCTTTGTAAAGTCAGCTCCTTGTGGAATATTTTAACATTTTTTTTGTTTGTGTTCTCCCTTCTCATTATTGAATGGGCTCCAGGAAACTCTCAACAATCTGTCTCTCACAACTGTACCACCTCCCCGCCACCACTAGGAAAATTCCCTTCATTGTAAAAGATGAGGATGAGTTACAAAAGCAAAGCAAAGAAGCTGTACTGGACCTATGAGGAAAGATGGGTATTTGACAGTCACTGAAAGTCAACTCGCTCCTCCAGGAGGATTTGCCTTGAAGCCAAACAAGCAGGTGAAGGCCAAGTAATTTAGCATTACCATGGTGTTCTGCAACCACCCCACGCAGGTAGGTTCGTGGTCAGTTCAGGCAGCTTAAAGGAACCTTGGAGCCTTGGCATCATCCCTGTTCCAACTGCAACAGGGATCCATCTACCTCTGGCCATTCATGGAGAGGTGCCCACTGAGAGAGTAGGCTGGCCACTGAGTACCATCTGCTCATGGCCAGCCACCCCACAACACCTCCCCTGGCTTCAAAGGGCTCCATACATGTCTGCATTGAACCTTCCTGTCATCTACGCCATTCTGCTGCTGTACGCCGCTCTCTGCTGCAGGGTCCTCTGTGATGCTGCCCTTAGCTACTCAGTCTCTTGGCTCAGGTGTGCCCACTCACCCATGCCCACACCATCCTCCAGGTGTCCACCATCAGGCATGAGTACCCGGAGCTCATGCTCCCAAGAGCTTACCTGCATTTAAAGTCACAGATTATAGCCACAGAGGCCAATGACACAAAAGCCTGAGCATCTTCATTTACCCTACACAGGGCTATGCTGAACCATTGGAGGGTATGGGTGCAAGAAGGACATGTGTGCTATCTGCTGGCATAAAAATACAGGGACACTCTCCCCATAAGATTCAGGAACACTTTTCTCAAGAGTCCTGGAGGAGACTTCTTATTATCTTGGTATGAAACTAGAGGTCAGTTAAAATCATGTGAGTTTGGAGAGGTCTATTACCATGACTTAAAAAATGCAGATTGTTCTGGGTTGAGAGCAGGGAGGGCCCTTAGGTGGCAAAGCATCAGTTCTTGCCTAAGTCCTTTGCCCTCCCCTACTGGAAGAAGAGATCATCCTATCCTAAGCTTCTGTCCTTTTCTTAATTGCTCTACTTTTTATGACCTACAAGAATGTATTTTGGGGGGTCTCAGCTAGTTCTAGACTTGTCAGTAAACATGTTTCTCTAAAAATGTCATCTTTATGCTCAGAGTAAAGATGAGGTCACCTCCTCCTCTCTGTCCTTCATGCCCCAAGTCCCAAAATGCAGGATAAATATCCCTCATTCACTTCATTATTCTTTAGAGTTCACAACCATGTAAATTCTACGTACATATGTTATTAAATGGATTGCTTTTCCTTTGCTAATCCTTTAGATGCTGTTTTGATTACTCATCCAATCCAGGAAGAATCCAGAGAGGTAGTGGATGATTTCTCTTGTACCCTGAGAGCACAAAACATGTTCTGGCTTTCTTTTTATTCAACATGTCTTGGCAATGGTGCTGCTTTTAAAACTTGTTTTTGTGGTTAGCTTTTTCTTCTTTTTCTTGTCTCAAGCAAAGTGAGCTTGTCCAGTTGCTGAAACCCATGCTCAGCTGGGTGTGCACAGATCGTAGAAAATTAGAATTAAAGAAAGGTAACATCCCTGGGAACCATTTTACAGATGCTAACAGTGTGCCAGGTACGTTATGTTGGGTTTCAGAGTGGGGTTCTTGGGTTCCTTTGAAAATGAATTTAGCAGACTTTCCCATTCAGCAGCACACAACAAGTTTATTAAGTAAAAGAGAAGAAATAAGGATATGCCTGTGTAGAGAGAGATGGGCAGGTTTTGAAAGGGGCAGGTTTATTTAGGAAAAAAGATGCCTGCATAGACACAGGCAGGAAGTCTTAGGAAAAGATCTGCATTTTGCCAGATTAAGGGGTATCTTACACAGTGTTCTTTGATGAAATTAATGTAGAATTTACTGCTTTGGGGTCAGATTGG